TGACTTCAGGACACTACAATGATTGTAAATGTGTACCTTAATCACAAACTTGTTTTTTTTCCAGCACCATTGTAACTTTGGATGGTCATTGCATGATGCATGGGCAGTTAATAAGCAAGGTCTACCTGTGCTACCATTATAGCTGGAGGTGGCTGGACAAGACTTTGGAGTGATACAAAATGAAACAATCCATTCACTTTGTTTCTGCTTTTGCAAAACTTGTATTGTTTTGTATTGTATCTTTTTTTGTAATGAGAAGAGGAATAGAAATGTATGCAATATAACACTATGTAGTGATTATTGAAATCTCTACATTTAAAGATGCTTAATTTGGATCAGATAACATATCAATTGTTTGTAATTTACACTGTCTTCTTTCATATCGTTGAGAGTGTGGTGGCGCGATAGCTTCCCCAGTACCTGGATGAAGCTGTCTATTTAGATCCACTCCAGTCCAGTTTCAGGCCTGGGTACAGCACAGAAACGGCACTGGTCACATTGGTGGATGATCTCTGGAGGGCCCGGGGTAGGGGTTATTCCTCTATCCTGGCCCTGTTAGATCTCTCAGCGGCTTTTGATACCATCAACCATGGTATCATGCTGCGCCGGCTGGAGGGACTGGGAGTGGGGGGCACCGTTTTGCGGTGGTTCTCCTCCTACCTCTTCAACCGGTCGCAATCTGTGTTGACAGGGGGGCAGTGGTCGATCCCGAGGTGCCTTGTTTGTGGGGTGCCACAAGGGTCGGTCCTCTCGCCCCTCCTGTTCAACATTTATGTGAAGCCACTGGGTGAGATCATCCGTGGTTTTGGGGTGGAGTTCCATCAGTACACTGATGATACTCAGCTGTACATCTCCACCCCAGACCATCCCAACGATGCCTTGGAAGTGATGTCCCAGTGCCTGGAGGCCGTGCGGGTCTGGATGGGGAGAAACAGGCTTCGACTCAACCCTTCCAAGACCAAGTGGCTGTGGCTGCCGGCATCCCTGTATAGCCAGCTGGCGCCATCGCTGGTTATTGGGAGCGAATCACTGGCCCCCACGGAAAGGGCCCGCAACTTGGGCGTCCTCCTGGATGCACGGCTGTCTTTAGAAGAGCATATGATGGCCGTGGCCAGGGGGTCTTTTTATCAGGTTCGCCTGATACGCCAGTTGTGCCCCTTTCCAGATCGGGACTCCTTACGCACGGTCACTCAAGCACTTGTCACTTTTCGTCTGGACTATTGTAACGCTCTCTACATGGGGCTCCCCTTTGGGTGCACCCGGAGGCTCCAACTGGTGCAGAATGCGGCCGCGCGGGGGATTATGGGAGCGATGGGGCGCTCCCATGTGACTCCTCTCCTGTGCGAGCTGCATTGGCTTCCGGTGGACTTCCGGGTGCGCTTCAAGGTGTTGGTGATCACCTTTAAAGCGCTCCATGGCTTAGGGCCGGGGTACTTACGGGACCGCCTTCTGCCACCAATTGCCTCCCACCGGCCAATTCGCTCCCACAGAGAGGGCCTTCTCAAGGTGCCATCAGCCAGACAATGTCAGTTGGCAACCCCCAGGGGGAGAGCCTTCTCTGTGATGGCGCCTACCCTCTGGAACAATCTACCCCCAGAGATACGAGTGATCCCAGACCTCTGGACTTTTCGTCGGGCCCTTAAAACCTATTTCTTTCAGTTAGCCGGGCTGGCCTGATTTTATATTGGTTTTTAAAATTGATATTGATTTTAATTGAAATGTTTTAAATTATGGGCCAAACTTTATTTAATTATTTAACTTTTGTGTACAAATGTTTTATTTTTGGCTGTTCACCTCCCTGAGTCCGAAAGGAGAAGGGTGGTATAGAAATTTTAATAACAACAACAACAACAACAACAACAACAACAACAACAACAACAACAATAATAATAATAATAATAATAATAATAATAATAATAATAATAATAATATCTATATCCTATAAACTTTGATTTATCAGACTGTATAATGGATTTCTTATGTAGTGGACCCAATTCCCTTGGCAATTTTCATCATTTTGGTAACGTTGCTTGGGTTGAAGGTCAAGATAGCACTTTCTCTAATTCTTGAAGTTAAATGTTAAACCTTCAAAAGTTAAATGTTAAAACTTTATACTTATACCTGTTATCTCACACATGTTTGACAAATTAAATAAATTTAAAAAGGGGGGCGTGCATAAGCGCACCAATGTGCCTACCATCCCTGTCCTACTGTCCCCATTTATTTGTATCCATTTCCAGTGTTCATATTCATGTTTATACTTAAACCTGTTATCTCGTACATGTTTTTTTTTTAATTTTGATTTATATGCCGCCCTTCTCCGGAGACTCAGGGCAGCTTACAATGCACTAAGCAATAGCCTTCATTCTTTTGTATATTTATACAAAGTCAGCTTATTGCCCCCACAACTGGGTCCTCATTTCACCTACCTTAGAAAGGATGGAAGGCTGAGTCAACCTTGAGTCTTGGAGAGATTCGAACCAGCAGCAAATTGCAGGCAGCTGTGTTAATAACAGGGTGCATAAATCAATCAATCAATCAATCAATCAATCAATAAAAATGAACTTCAGAAAGCAGCATAATTTCTTTGTCACATCTGAGGCCAGCAAGCTCAATTCCAGTCTTCTCCACACACACAGTCTACATTTACCTGGGCATATCAATCTGAAAATAAAAACAGTTGCACAAAAGTAATTATTTGTTGGGATTATAAATATGATTGATACATCATGAAAGACAAGCATTTGGAGGTCACAGGAAATGTTTAATTACAAGCACCTAGCACATAAAAAAATGCAAGTAGAAAAATAGGGACCACCTTTGGTGGGATGGTAACAGCGTTCTGTGCGCCTCTGGCGTTTAGTCATGCTGGCTACATGACCACGGAGATGTCTTCGGACAGCGCTGGCTCTATGACTTTGAAGCAGAGATGAGCCCCGCCCCCTAGAGTTGGGAACGACTAGCACATATGTGTGAGGGGAACCTTTACCTTTAAAGCTAAGTATTGTCAGACATAGCATTTGAATATAAGTGCATGGGAAATTCCTTAAATAAATATTAAAAACTATTCAAGAAGAAGGCAACGGTAAACAACTTCCATCTTACTTCCAAGAAAATGACATAGACCAACCCATAAAGTTTTTAGAAGGTGAGCTTGACTTGAAGGAATCATGTACATTAGCAATAGCAATAGCACTTAGATTTATATACTGCTTAATAGTGTTTTATAGCTCCCTCTAAGTGGTTTAGAGGGTCAGCATATTTCACCCAACAATCTCGATCCTCATTTTACCCATTTCGGAAGGATGGAAAGCTGAGTCAACCTTGAGCCAGTCAGGATCAAACTGCCAGCAGTTGGCAGAATTAATCTGCAATACTGCATTCGGACCACTGTGCCACCATGGGTCTCTAAATAGCAATAGCATTTAGGCTTATATACTGCCTCTTAGCTCTTTACAGCACTCTCTGGGTGGTTTAAATGTAGAAACATTATTTGCATATTTTCCCCAACAATTTGGGTCCTTATTTTACCGTCCTCAAATGGATGGAAAGCTTGAGCCCTGTCAGAATCTAACTCCTGGCTGTGGGCAGAGTTAGCCTGCAATACTGCATTCTAATCACTGCACCACCAGAGCTCATTCATCTTACCAAGAAATTATTCTCACCACCATCTTTCCAGAAATGTCATGTTATTAACATGGAAAATTTATACTAGAAAGTATTGAAAGCAGTAGTTTAACAATGGCATTTTCAAAAAACAAAATCCAATATAATTGGCATTCATGACACAGTTAAATACCAATAGCACTTAGACTTATATACTGCTTCACAGTGTTTTTACAGCCCTCTCTAAGAGATTTACAGAGTCAGCATATTGCCCCCAACAATCTTGCCTCCTCGTTTTACCAAACTCAGAAGGATGGAAGGTTGAGTCAACCTTGAGCCTGGTGAGATTTGAACTGCCAAATTGCAGGCAGGCAGCAGGCAACAGAAGTAGCTAGCAGGACTGTGACCACTAACCACTGTGACACCACAGCTCTAAAGACAGCAACAATCCATGATCCACTTAGTCCATAATATTGACATCAAACAATAGATGTCTTTGAATTTATATAAGATTTCAGGCAGTGATATATTTGTTTAACCATAATAAAATGAGCTTGTGTGAAGATCATACATAATTTTACAATCAATGGATTTCAGACTGCCAATGATAGCATTCATAATTGCTCTAATGGTTAATGCCTTCCAGGTCATTTCGACTGTAAGTCTTCTTTTTATCCATCCTAGTTTAATTAAATTTTCTGAACTGTGATATTTTCTAGAGGTAGAATCACTTTGTGTTTAACATATCCATTGATCATTTGAGCACTTGATTCCTTATATTATAATACAATAAAAGTACAATATTCATCTGAGCATAAAAACAGCTCCTAAATTCTCTCCAGCGCAGAAGCTTGAGGGCAGTCCTTTCTCTATCAGAACTGATGAACATGGTATGGAACTGAGACAAGCCCAGGTTATTTTTTTAATTGGGTTTTATATTATGGCTTTTGATGCACAAAGATTCACACTGTTACATTCCTCATTCTCTCATCACATTTTCTATGAATGATCATCAAATGAGCAAGCTTCCCTAGTCATCTTTCCCCATATAGGACTAAATAAGAAGGAAGACCTTCTTCCAAATTAAAGCATAGATTATGTTTCCAAGGGGAGCCCATGCAGATGAGGTTGCCTATCCCAGATCACAGACTGATAGAGAACTACCATATTTAGGGATCCTCAACAACTAGAGACCTGTGAAGATTGCATTCCATTTTATGGGGCATTTTTATGTAGGAACAAATTTCAAGGTTACTTTCTTGCATTAAGGATAATTTGTTAATTTGTCTGATGAAAAAAAATCACAGTAGCTAAGCAATAGTTTATAGCACAACAAATATGTTTATGAGATTTTTTTTTTTACTAAGTAGAATTTATCTACACAAGATGAAGCTTTATGGCTATGGTCCATAACTCTTTCATTCATACATCTATTTGAAATTTGAAAATAAAAGTTCTCCATTTTAAGTGATTTATGAATCCCTATATAAAAGTACTTTACTGCATACAACCATTAAATATTTGAAGAGCACTAGTTGAACAAAAACTTTTATATGAAGTAAAATGAATATAGTTGAAATTAAGTCAATGAAATGTAATCACAGGGATTTGTGCATGTGCATATTCCCAGCTTCAAGTCTACATTTACAAGTGGCATTTTTGCTAGTTCAAACACTGAAAAAATCTCCTAATCCTTCTGAGTGCTATCAGTTTTCTTTGCAATAATTTATTGAAGGTATCCTTTACTTCTTCATTTCTCAAGGTATAGATCAAGGGGTTTAACATGGGAAAAACCACAGTATAAAAAACAGAGACTATTTTGTCTGTATTCAGGATATAGCTGGAGCTTGGCCGCAAATAAGTAAAGAGAAGGGTTCCATAATACAAAGTCACAGCTGTCAAGTGGGAGGTACAAGTTGAAAAGGCCTTCTGGCGGCCTTCAGCTGAATGGATCCTCAAAATGGTGCAAATGATATAGGTGTAGGAGATAACAATCAACAAAAAAGTGCTCATTTGGATGAAACCACACAAGGCAAAAAGAAGAATTTCATTAATGTGAGTGTTGGAGCAGGAGAGAGCTAACAATGGAGGGATGTCACAGAAGAAATGATTGATGACGTTGGATCCACAAAATGACAAGCGAAATGTATAATAAGTGTGAATTAGTGAAGTCACACTACCAATAAGGTAAGAGCCAGCTACCAACCCGAAACAAACTCTGTGGGTCATAAGAGCGGGATAAATTAGTGGGTTACAAATAGCCATGTAGCGGTCATATGCCATGACAGCCAGAAGAAGGCACTCGGCATCTGCAAAAGAAGCAAACAGATACATTTGTGTAATGCATCCTGCCAGTGAGATCGTCTTCTTTCCAGTTACAAAATTGAGAAGCATTTTAGGTGTAATGGCAGAAGAATAACAGAAGTCTAGGAAGGCCAGGTTGCTGAGGAAAAAGTACATTGGACTGCGGAGGCACGAGCTGATCCAAATTAATATGATGATACCAATATTTCCCACCAAAGTGACTAGATAGATGGCTAAGAAGAAAACAAAGAGGACAGCATTGATCTTTTGATGATTGGTGAAGCCAAGAAGAACAAACTCAGTCACTGTTGTTTGGTTCCATTTGCCCATTTTTTCTGTTTCTTTATTCATTTATTCTGAAGCTTCCACTAGCGGAGGTTAGGATAGCTGATCAGTTGCTGCAAAAGCTTGTTTCCTTCAGACTTCATGGACTTTCTGAAAGAGATAATTAATACTGTAATTAATCACCTGTGCTAAGCTTTCAGTTAAATTGTTGCCATCTATCAATGTAAGAATCTTCTCTAATGCTCCCATAATAGCACTAATGGTCCTAAGTGTAATATATTAATTAGGTATATTGAGAAGAAAATAATAGATTAATAATGTGATAAATGATTATATTCATATTGGGTGACTATATTACTGAACATTTACAAAATAAAAGAGAAATTAAAAAGAGGAAGAGGAGGAAGAAACCCTGAATTACAAAATGGTGTAACTGGTGATGAATGGTGATTTTTGTTGCAACTATATAAGGTGTTAAAAGATGCTTAATTGCATTTACATTGCAATCTGGACTTTTATGTTGTGGTTTTGAATATGTTTAATATCATACTTTAACATATATTAACATGTTCCTATAAAGTAAGATACATTTTTTTTTAAAAAAAATCTGAAATTGTTTAATCCTTGGGACTATTCCTTCCAGTCTGGCCTATTTTTCTTTCAAGATGATTTGGAAACTTACTAAAATTCATAGCATCCGATCTGAGGCCAAACTAAAAAGATTTCAGTCCTTGAAAGGATTTTTTTACTGATAAATCTTTAGGATATCTGAGTACCAAGAGGATCCAAGCCACCTTTCATCCCTAGAGAGCACTACCGCTAAAAGAAAGCCCTCACTTCCAAGAAAGCAATGCCAAGCTGAAGATGATTTCTTTTTAACAGAGCTGATGATGATGGCAGAAATTGGAGCCAGTGAATGACTCAGTAATACTCCATATTATATGTGTCATAATTTTACAATACACATTCCATCCATTCATATCATACAGATATATAAGGGATGGGATTTTTATCTCATGACATCACCACTCTCATTTCATCACTTACCCCCTTGGCTCTCCCAAAGATGCTTGTGTAAGGCACCACCCAATACAAGGTTTATTCAAGAACTACTCCACCCAGAGCCCCTCTGAGGGAGACGGGCAGTTGATAAGATAGATAGATAGATAGATAGATAGATAGATAGATAGATAGATAGATAGATAGATAGATAGATAGATAGATAGATAGATAGATAGATAGATAGATGATAGAGTAAATAAGTAAGTTCCTTTCTTTGCAAGTTGTCCCCTTTGGAGACACTGCAGATCATTTACAATTGGACATTGGCTGGTACTTTAAAATCTGGAAACATTAAAAAACTTTTTATAAAAAAAAATCTGGAAACATTAAAAACTTTAAATTCAGGGTTACTAATGACTAAACCACCATCTGTCTCTAACTACTAATTTCTGGTCTTGGTACTCTAGATGATCCTTGGTTCTTAAATTATGCTTATGATAGAACTAGATTCTGAATCTTGAGCCTTCCCTGTCCTTGTGAAGGGTCTACTCACTGATGTATTAATCTGATTTCATATACATATTCATGTTTATTCATTATATCTTGATCTCCACCCCACCTTGAACCTCCACTCTAGTATATGGGTGAGGATGAATATGAACATGCAGAGTAGGAATAACATCAAAGCAGTGGAGGATTCTTTGAATTTCTCCCTTGCGTTTGAAGACAACTTGATTAGAGAAGAGAAAAATCTTATATCAAATTCTCTCTTCAGCTTTCTCTCCAGCATCTATCCTCAGCTTTTTCTATTGCCGAGAATACTTGTGACCAGAGAGAATAAGTGAAGCTTTCGATCTAATCAACCAAAAGCCCTTCTCTTCTACTATATTTCCTTCCCTTCAGGAGAAAATTTAAACCAACCATTGTTTCTCCATGATTTTTATCCCAGGGGTGAAATGCTACCGGTCACACCAGTTCAGGCAAACCAGTAGTAATAAAAGCTATCAGTTCAGGTGAACAGGTAGTTAAAAAAAGCTACCGGTTTGTCCAAACTGGTATTTCCGACAATCAGTTGCGCTGTGCAATTTAAATTCACTAGAAAGCAGAGAATCCTGCTTTCTAGCGAATCTATATCGTGCGGCACAGCTGTTCCCTCCCCTCGCTGTTCTACTTACTTTCAAAAGGTTCATTTTTCCGTGTGAAGCGTGTGTTTGGTGCGCACTGTGTATGCGCACACATAGCATGCATTTGGCACACACCGCGCATGCGTGGGCAGCGAACCGGTGGCAACCTGCGGAGGATTTCACCACTGCTTTATCCTATTGGTATTCCACAGCATATCGGTTCCTTTAGATCAATGCCATGCTACAAGAGAAGTAACTCTTTCCAGGTGGAAGGTGTGGCAATTACTGCTATGACTTTGGTGATAGGCTAACAATATTGCAGGAGGAACAAGCACACAGAAAATAAGTTGCCTATTTTGCACCATCTATGGAATTTGGCATGGACTGGATAACTTGCTTTTGTCTTTAAACTAAAGCCAGGAATATGAGAATTATACATCACTTGAGAAGGTGGGAACCATCACATCTTCTTAGAAATCTGTAACTATAAAATGCTAAAGTGAAGCTGGTATGAACTGTATGTATTCAATCTGGACACATTTCTGATTCATTTCCCTTCCTATAAAAATACAATAGCAGAACCTGCGTATGGGAGAGAATAAAGGGGGGGGGATCAAGGTATTTCAGATCCAAGACTGTCAAAATTTTCCTCACATTCTGAAGTAATTTCAGAAGGTGGGGAAATTTGTATTGAGGATCTGCAGCTGTTCTTATCTTTCTCCCTGTCTATATATTTCACAAAACATAATGCCACCCTAGTCATAGACATTAATGTCTTTTGTATCTTCTCCAGCATCAAATTCATATACAGGGATTCATTAGATTCAAACCTCAGCACAGTCTCATAGCGGAGAGTCAGATCTCTTCTTCTGACACATGGAGGTTCAAACATCATATGGCTTCTGAAATACTCGCTCAAGAACCATAGAATTAAACTATAAAAAGTGGAGAGTAAATCTGTTTTCTGAGAGAAGTCACCTGACTTCATTTGGTAGCACCAAATTAAACTACTACTAAAAAAAAGAGGTGAATTTATGTATGCATATCTGTGTGCAAAAATATTCTGTATTTAAAATTAAAGTAATTTAAATTAATTGGAAGGGAGGAAAACACACAAAAAATAGACTGCTGTTTTGCATATATATAGAATTCAGATTATGATGATAAAGACAAAATTCAAAGCATCTAACAAATCAAATGTGATAAAGAACAATATTCATTATTATGACATGGCTATCAAAAACACGATGTAGAGAGTGATAAGTTTTCATATTCAGCATGTCACTGCTGCTACTAAGTAAGATTCCTCTAAAAGGACTGTCCTCACTCAAGACACAAATGACCAGGCTCAAATTATCCTACTTTGGACGAATTATGTGAAGACCTGTTTCTCTAGAAAAATCTCAGATGCTAAGAAAGATGGAAGGAAAAAGAAGAAGAAGGTGACAAGCAGCAAGATGGATGGACTCAGTTGCAGTGGTGATGAAATGCCTGAAGGACCAGGTTAGATGTAGATCACCATGGAAAAGATCTATCTATGTGATCACTGGGAGTCAGCAGCAACTTAATGGCACATAATCAATCAAGCAAAAGGGCTGTCCAGTAATCAAATTAGAGGTTCAATTTATCTCAGTCCCTGAATAAGATTTCATTTCATTTCATTTCATTTTATTAGATTTCTATACCGCCCTACTCCCGAAGGACTCAGGGCGGTGCACAGCCAAACAATAAAAACACATACAATACAAAATTTAAAAAATAGAATAAAATCAAATTAAATAAATTTTGGTCCCGACAAATTTAAAACCCCAAACTTTTAAAACCAATTTAAAATTGAATATATAAAATACTAAAAGATATTTAAAATTTTAAAAATCTTTTCTAAAAGAGGGGGAAAATTAGGCCAGGCCGGCCTGGTGAAATAGTAAGGTCTTTAAGGTGCGGTGGAAGGTGCGCAGATTTAGAAAGCAGCCTGGGGTTTCTGAAACTTGTTTATCTCTTAAACCCTCCTCAGTGTTTAACCAAGGAGGTCTGTGCTTCGACTTTTCAGATTGAATATTTAGCTCATTCATTCCAGGTTGATGACATTGTCAGCTATTTTATATACTTTTGTAAAAAGGACACAATGGCAATAAGGTGGATTGTGGTACATGAGGGACTCTTTTTCCAATTCCTTTTTTCAAGCATATCCTTTCCAGTGCCACCTGTTGCATGGAGAACACAAATGTGAAGACATTCTCCACCATCTATTCTCTGTCAAAGGCAAATTCACATTCCTACTGAACCACTAAACTTTTGAAAAGTGGTGAAATCATCAAAAAATTAGAAAAGTCAATCTAATATCAACAGGCCAACATGGCATGGGAGCCTGGGGCTCACATTTAGTCTCAGCTAAGATCTCAGATAAGACAGTTTTTCAGGCTGAAACTGGGAAGAACTATTAGAAAACTAGGACTAGACAAAGAATGAAAAGTATTGTGCAGATAACAAGATCTATAGTGTGAATAATGAGTGCTTCAAAACAGACTTTTTTGCATTTTCATGAAAAAGAAAACATTCCAGATGTGGCCTGTTTAATAAATAAATACATAGCAATGATAGAAGAAAAAGAAGTCATATTTGCCTAGGTGTTCGTAAATGCTTTTCTTTATTTGTTAACTCAGTTTTATCCCACTTGCTTTTTTTTTCATTTAATTAATATAATACAACTAGCAGTCACTATAAGATAAATCATAATTTAATCCCTTTATCCTTAACATTTTAAAGAATTATTGAAATACATTTTACGTAAAAAAATAAACTTTTAGTTAAATTAAATTTGGCTCTTTTCTTTCCCAAATCTGAGTTAGTAATCTAGCAAGGCAGTCTTACTGAAATACACTTTTGAGCTGCTTGTGGCAAGCATCAAAAGAGAATATAAAAGTGCAGTAGTACTCGGATAATACATTTCAAAAGAGAGTGCAAAAAAAGTCATTGCAAAATCTTACACTGCATGATTACAAGTTATTCCAAAGCTTCAACGGCTTGTCTCTTTTACTTTATCATAGAATAATGGTCATACCTTTTGGATGAGAAGCAAGGTTATCCAATTTCATTGCTGATGATGGACAAGAGAATGTTGAGAGTTTCTTTCCATCTAACATATTCTCACTTTGGAAAAAGAAAAAAAAACTTCAAAGATTTGCCTTTGAAGAAAGGTACAGTTAGAATAATTAAAATGCCCTTTGTGTCTCCTGGGGTGGAGCTTAATGACATGTAGAAAAGTAGTCCTGAAGAACTGAATGAAGTTTCTAATATTTTCTCAAACTTTTATTAGCCATTTCAAAATCCAAGTACTTTTTTTTCACAAAACGCAAGGAAGTTATATATCAGCAATAAGGAACAGTAATGTATCCCTATTTGTAATTTAATCTAATCACCTTAATTTTGTTGCTAGCAAGATGCTTAGCATGGATAGGAAGTAAATTTGGTGAAAGAGCAAATTTGGGTTGGGTTATCATCTTCTAGATGGAAATTTGTAACTATCACAAATTCATTGCTTTAACTGTTCTTAACAGAAAGTCAGTTTCCTATACAGAATAGGCCATGTCCATCTCTCTTGGGATCTTCCACACGGGAGAAAATATTTTCCTGTATACCCAACAGTTGAGTTGCTGATAGCAGAGTAGCCAAGCTACTCGCCCAGATTCACAACAACTAAGGTAAACCCACAAATAGCCAGTCTCAAACTGTTGAGCCTTTACAACTCAAAATCAATACACTGAATTGTGTCTGGTAGGCAATTTATAACCAGTACATAACTTTCAGATCAGGAAGCATATGTCGTCATATGTTGCCCTTATCAGTTGCTTAGCTACTACATTTTGTAGCAACTGCAGTTTCTGGACAGTTTTCAAGCATAGTCTCATGTACAACACAGTGCAGTAATTAAGATAGGTTGTAGTTAGAGCATGAATAACTGTTTGCCATCAGTTTTAGGGAGGGCCAGAGCTGCTGATTGGAGTTAGAGCTGGAAGTTTGTTATCTCACATCTGCAAGGGTAAATAGGAAAAGCTAGCTTAACTAGCCTTTCTTCCAGCTATTAAGTGAAAGAAGTGGGTCAATCACAGGACAAATATCAACTGCCATTGCCTATTATGGCTTGGTCAATTGAGAATTTCATATTATGCTTTCTAGTGAGTGTGTAGACTAGATTAGCTGCCTCAGTCATACTGTACCACATGTAGCATCCCCAGCTTTTGGTAAACATTGTAAGAGGAATATCATAGTAATCAAGGGCAATTGATTACTATGCCAAATATAATCAATATTATAATAATATTTAATGTTTGTTTGTTTGTTTGTCAAGCTTGTACAAGGTAGCAAGTATAAGTATGAATATAAGCATGAAAAAAAGGAAGTAAATACAGATAAATGGGGACAGTAAGACAGGGATGGTAGGCACGCTGGCGCGCTTATGCACGCCTCCTTTACGGACCTCTTAGGAATTGGGTGAGGTCCACGGTAGGCAGTTTAAGGTTGAAGCTGTGAGGGTTTGAGGATGTAACAACAGAGTCAGGTAGAGCATTCCAGGCGTTAACCACTCTGTTGCTGAAGTCGTATTTTCTGCAATCGAGTTTGGAGCAGTTTACCTTGAGTTTGTATCAATTGTTTCCCCATCGTTTGTTGACAGGTAAGATATTGTAGAAGACAATTTTCTGTACTATGCTTAGATCGGACCACAGGCGGCACAGTTCCAGATTGTCCAAGTCCAAAATTTCAAGCCTGGTGGCATAAGGGATTCTATTGTGAGTAGAGGAGTGGAGTACTCTTCTCGTGAAATATCTCTGGACCCGCTCAATCGTATTAATGTCCGATATACAGTGTGGATTCTAGGCAGACGAGCTGTATTCGAGAATTGGTCTGGCAAAGGTTTTGTATTCCCTAGTTAACAATTCAATGTTACCGGAGAAGAGGTGAGGTTAGCAACTCTTAAGGCCTTTTTGGCAATGCTGTTACAATGCTGTTATATCTCTTCAAACTAGTATATTTTATTAAAAATCTAACTTTCATGAAATATCACTCGCTTTATCAAATGCATGGAATGGCTAAGCTGATTTTATTATTTAATATCTACCTGAGGTCATCCTTCAGGTGAACTGGGTGAGTTATGGACCTCCCTGTTATGAAGGTCCCTTCATTATGAGTAAGTAGCATGCATGCACAGACAGACAGACAGACAGACAGACAGACACACACACACACACACACACACACACACACACACACACACACACCTTATTTAAGACTATTGCACAATTTGGGGGACTTCCTGGACTCTCAATTCCTGCTTGAGGAACAGGTGATAGTTCTGACCAGAAATGCTTTTGCACAAATCCAGTTTGTATGCTAATTGTGCCTGTTTGTAGATTGGGAGTACCTCTTAATGGGCATTCATGCCTTGTTCACCTTGCAATGCACTATACATGGGGCTGCCCTGAGGATCATTCCAAAACTACAACTGGTCCAGAATGCAGTGGCATGAGCTGTGATAGACAAACCTTGCTATAACCATGTCACACCTCTTCCATGTGAGCTGCACTAGGTACTAGTAAGCTTCCAGGTCCAGTTCATGGACCTGGCTTTTACCTCTAAAGCTCTATGTGGCATATGACCTAGCTATCTGAAGGACCATCGGTCTCCTGTTTTATCTGTCCACCCTGTCTAACACAGACAAAGTTGGCTTACCTTGTGTCCTGTCAATTAAACACTGCCATCAAATATGTAGATGTAGCTCTTCCCTGATGTAGTGCCAGCCCTTAGAAACAGCATCTATCCAGATTTGTTCATCTAATGCACCTTCAAGTGAGCTCTAAAATGTGATGATTCACTCAGGCCTCGGGTTAGGGTGTTTTGGCAGATCTCTTTAGATTGGTGATGAGAGATTTTTTTTCCCTCACAGAGATTGTTTTTTGCTGTTTTTAATTTTCTGAAGACACCAAGTGTCATTCTGGGAGTTGGCCTAGAAATTTGGGTAATTAAAAACAATAAAATTCTGCAAGGTTGTTTTTGAATTCTGCTTATGATAAGAACATTATCACCAGCATGGTACATTTGGGCCAGCATGACACAGGCATAGCCAAAGCCTAGTGTTTGTTTTGCTTTTTCTCAATTGTGCTCATGCTATTTTATGTAATGAAGGATCTCTGACCTAGAAACGTGCAAACCAGTATGCTTTTACTCCATATTCCCCTAACTAGGAGGTTATGCAATATATTGCTCTACACAGGATAATTACTGAACGTTGTAGCATAATTCCAGAGTACAGAACTGCAAAGCATTCGGTGAGGAACTGGTTTTGAAGATAATTCAGACTCTTTGAACATATGTAGTACAGTTGTCCATTGTGGGAGACAGAGAGAGTCCATTGGAGCATATAAAACCACTGATTCCCCATGTTTAGCAGTATTTTCAGATTGGTATCAGTATTTTTGTCAGGTGAATCATTCACTATGACAGCTCTTTCATGTTCACACCAGAAAATCAGATCTCTGCTTTATCACCAAAATGTTCAGTTCTATCTTATCCTCTGAAGTTTTTATCTATATGAATTCAGTAGTTTTAAAAGGCTATAAATCCTGAGCAAGAGCTATTAAAATGATAAGCACCTCCATATAATTTTCTTTCTATGTTAATTTCCTTGCCACTTTCTCTCGTTCAGTAAGAATAAAATTGACTATTCTTAGGTTTTAGCTCCAAGTACTGTAGCTACTCTATACAGGTGATTCCTCCTTTGTCTTCTCAACTTTGGAGACCACAATTTAAAGACAAACATGCTGAAGGGTGTCAATTAGGACAAAACTGGTCACATACTGCCTCCTAGTGGTTAATATAGGATATACACTGTATAAAAACAGAATCCCCACCTCAGAAAGGAAGATTGGGTAGAAAATATGTACTTTACATTAGAATAATAGAGTTGGAAGGGACCTTGGAAATCTTCTAGTCCAACCCTCTGCTTAGGCAAGATATCTTACACCACTTCAGACAAATGGTTATCCAATCTTTTCTTTAAAACTTCCAGTGTTGGAGCATTTACAACTTCTGGAGGCAAGTTGTTTCACTGATTAATTGTTCTATAATAATGTAACATTTGTACTTTTCTGCTATAACTTATCTTAAAGGTAACTTAAAGGAAAATGGACTACGATATCATAACAACTATATTGACTGTAGTTCAGGGGTGTCAAACCTGCGTTGTCACGGCAGTATGATATGACGTATCGGGATTTTTCCCCCTTCGCTAAAATGGGTGGGGGCGGAGCCAGCACATGACACATCCGGCCCAGGGCCATGAGTTTGACACCCCTGCTGTAGTTCCTTTCCAGATGCCATCTGTTAATTTCCAGACATTGTTATTATTTTTCAATTCCCCCCCCCAAAAAAAATACCTACAGACTCGGTTATTTTACAGATAGTTTCATTCCATGTAAACCTGCCTGTCTCTTTACAGGTATGATCATCTAATATTGAGAATCTTCACAGGAATATGTATGACGAAATTCGTTCCTCATTAAAAAGAGAGAAAGAAAAAAGAAAAAAATTAAAGGATATAATACAACAATCAGGATCATTTTGAGATCAATTACAATCCTCTAAATCTGTACATCTGGGAGGAGCTTTAATTACCATGCCTTAGAGAAGTTATTGAGCATTTTTAAAGCTTTGGTATAAATATTTCAGAAAACTCAGCCTTCAGTTTAGTGCTTAAATTTTAAAATGCTAATTCCTGCTTAAAGGTAAGCAGTGCATCTTTTATTAGTTTGATTCAGTTTGGCTATTTCTCACAAGCAATCATTAGAATCAAATGACTATTCAGGTTCAAAGTTCATTAGTCATATGTGAGGACCTGCTAAGTAACTTTTCTGCTACAATGTCTGATCTATTAAACCTACAGCGTGCCATATATGGCTTGTTATTTAAGAAGCTTGCACAGATTATACTGACAAGGTCCTCTTCTTATTTAGATGGGCATCATTTTTTCATGCTGTAGCTACAAACTGAATTGGTACATTTGATCCTGTTGTTTTCAAATGAAAGACGTCCTTGGAATTGGCTTGATTTCTTTTCCACTTAGGGTAGGGAAGGGACACCCCCCACCCCCATGAATACTTCTAAACTCATATTTCCATGCTCATAGAAGGAAAGAAATAATTTGGAAGAGAGCCCAGCTGCCATGTATGGCTTCATTTTAGATTAAGAACCCTTTTTTCTATTGATAATGATTGTTAATATGACTTCAGATCATTGTTGATTTTTGGCAATTGCATAAGTAGGTTTGGTTAATTAGGATACTGTATATCCCTAATTTCTTCCTTTAGGACTTCCAATGGTCCATCCCAGGGGTGGGTTCTAAAATTTTTTACTACCGGTTCTGTGGGCATGGCTTATTTTGTGGGTGTGGCTTGGTGGGGGGGATAATGTGACTGTGTGGGCATGGCCAACTTTTTTTTTTTTACTTTTAAAAGTATTTTTTCTACAACCTTAAGAGGTTGCAGAAAAAAATGCTTTTAAAAGCCTCTGACGATCAGGCAACTCAGCTGGGATTGCCAGAGGCTTTTAAAGGCATTTTTTTTCCTACAACATCTTCCACCAAAGAGGTTGCAGAGAAAAATGCTTTTAAAAGTTAAAAAAAAAAGCCTCTGATGATCGCGCAGCTCAGCTGGGATCATCAGAGGCTTTTTTTTTTAACTTTTAAAAGCATTTTTTCGGCCGAAAAGGTTGTAGAAAAAATGCTTTTAAAAGTTTTTTTAAAAAGCCTCTGATGAGGTGGGCGGGGTAAGTGAGTGGTGACCGGGCTGGGGACCGGTTCAGGGGCATGGCCAGCCAATGTTATTATCGGTTCTCTGAACTACTACAAATTTTTACTACCGGTTCTTGCGAACCGGTGCAAACCGGGAGCAACCCCCCACTGATCCATCCATCTTACTGGTTGTCCTTTTTTTCTCTTTCCATCTTACTGGTTGTCCTTTTTTTCTTTTTCCTTCCACCTTTCCCAGCATTACAGCCTTCTCCGGACAGCTGGATCTTCACATCATATGCCCAAAGTAGGATAATTTGAGCCTAAACAATTGTGCCTTGACGCTGTCACCCAGGAATTCCAAGGAACTCCAACCTTATCCTGTCAGAGGGCTGAAAAGATCTGCCTCACCACCCAGGCACTGGACTACGTAGCCCAGGAAATGTAAGGGCAGGAGGAATCTATGTGATGTGATGTGCTTCTAATATGTGGTGTCATGGGGTTGATTTTGTTTTATTTATTCTTTTTTTATTTAATATTAACGTGAGCTTCTTAGGATTATTTTATATAACATATGCACCGTACAAGTTTCTAAATTAATAAATATTGGATTGCAAAAGTAACGGGAGATACTACATAATGCAAAAATAAATAGTTGGAGATGAGCAAGCTTATTCTGTTTAGAACTCACAAATGGTGTAAATGTCTCAGATACGACTTCCTTTAGAAACTAGTTTAAATGTGATTGCTTTTGGAGATTACAAGAAAATGTATATGGGTTTTCAAGTTCATCTCTCTTTTCTTAACTATGTTTATATTTTCTCAAATAAATGTAATTTTATTATGTCTCTTGGCTAACATATCAGTCAAATCTTTATATTTAATTATTCCCACATCACACATATACCAAAAAGCCCACTCACACAAGAATTTATAAACATTATACCTGCAAGAGTTTTCATACATTACTGAGTATGCAGATTTATTTGACTTATTAACTTGATATTAATATTTGCAATAATAATAATAATAATAATAATAATAATAATAATAATAATAATAATAATAATAATAATAATAATAATTCCAGAGAAACTTAGATTTCTTCTGAAACAGCTTGAGTATGGATAGGAACAAAGTCAGAAACATAAGACACCACTAACAAGTGAATACAGAGCTGTTTATTATGATATAATTTTAGATATTGCAATAATGCTAATCATATGTGTCTGTGTGTGTTTGTATGGGGGGGGGAGAGAAAGAATCAAGTATATACGCTAAGTATGTACGCTAACAATGAGTCACTCTAGAGGATATTTAAAAAAAATTAACTAAATGTCAAAGGAGTAGAATCAAACCTCTACTCCACTCCTTTCCTTGGTAATACAAAACTTTTAGGAGCTAGTTTCTTCTTTCCCCCTTCATGGATTTACCAAAACCTTAAGAATGCTAGAAACATCTCCTGTCTGCCTAACCATGAATATATCAAGGTTTATCCTTCTTTATTTGCTTGGTCCAGTTCCAATACCTGAACCTCTTGCTTTGCACCATCTACAATCTCTAGCTGGTATTCGCCTTGGTCTCTCTCTTTGCAGATTCCTCCTCTGGTTTCTGGTGCCATAAATTCCTTCCCAGTCTTTGCATCTTTTGACTGTTATGGCTCTCTCAGTCGCTGCTTCCTCTCCTCCATCTTCTATACTGTTACCTCACATTCCAACAGCTTCTCCTAGAATAACACACACACACACACACATATTTGTCTATCTACTTTGGCTTATTTGACATATCTTTCTTTCAAAACTACATTCCAGTTTGCAGGTGATTCTAAGACATTTAAACTTTCCCCCCATTTCTTCTGTAATTGCCTATGTGCCTAAATTACCTCTGACAGTCAGACCACCAAAGAGAAACTTTGATCTTGAAAATATCACTCATAACATTTTTCTGTTTCAGGGCAGTTCATCTTTCTATACCATAATGTAATTTGAGCATTTCTATGTATGGTTTTAGTGAGATGATCACCCCACAGGTCTGAGGAAACTGTTGTTCTTCAGTTTCAGAATTAGGTGTGAAGGCAATTGATGAAGTCCACATGGAGCATAATAAGCTTCATCACATGTACTGAAGGAACTTTGTGGACATTGTTTTTGCAATCTAAAGAATTTTTAATTATCTCCAATAACAAAAACACTGTACAATATATCAACCATTCAGTTCTGTTAGTAAAGCTAGCTGTATGAACATTTATACTGGTATTTATAATATCTGCAGAAATCACTGCGTGATCACTTTAACTTCTGAAACAAAAAAGTATAGTTTAAACATAATCTCATTGTCAGTGAAAATATACTTCGACAAATCTATTTATTGGAAAATCAAAAATAAATTAAAAGAAACATTTAGGGTATATGTTACAGGCAAAATAATCCTAAAATTAAAATAATTGTCTTGTCCTTTTGACTGTTGTTGCCAGAGTCAAAATGAAAATGTTCTTTCAAAGATGCCCTCTTCAAAAAAATAAGATCCCTCTTTTTGCAAGCAGAATAAAGGCATAGCAAAGAGGTAAAAAGAGGAAAACTACAATCTCCTTTCCCCACCCTAATTCATCAATTAAACACTCTCTCATCACAAACCCTACGTTCAGGAGAAATGGGAAATTGAGGCTACTTGCTCAGACTTCTGTAACTTGTATTTTTTTAAGAAACATTTTTCTTGTTTTCCCCCCCACAGGAAAAAGGGAATGAAGCCAATACCTGGAACAAATTACACTTTGGTGACCAACTTCATTCTTTTTGGACTCACAGAACACCTGGAAATGCGGCAATTGCTCTTTGCAACATTTTTAATCATCTATATTGCCACTCTGCTGGGGAATCTTGGGATGATTTTGTTAATTTGGATTGTTCCCCAGTTGCATATCCCCATGTACTTCTTTATTAGCAGCCTATCCTTTTTAGATGCCTGTTATTCCACCACCATCACACCTATAATGCTGGTAACCTTTTTAGTGGAAAAGAAAACCATATCTTATGCTTCTTGTATGACACAGTATTGTTTCTTTGCAATATTTGCCACAACTGAGTTCTTTCTATTGGCTGCAATGGCATATGATCGTTATGTGGCCATCTGCCAGCCTTTGCTCTACACTTCGCTGATGACTAAGAGGCTTTGTACTGGATTGATAGCTGGCTCATATCTATGGGGAGTTGTGAACTCTATGATTCACACTTGTGGTTTGTTAAGGTTGTCCTTTTGTGGCTCCAGGAGCATCAATCACTTTTTTTGTGATGTCACCCCGCTTTTGAAACTGGCTTGCAATGATGTCTCTATGAATGAGATGCTAATATTCATTTTTGGCAGTTTGTTTGAAATGAGCACCTTGCTGATCATTATTGCCTCTTATATATTCATTATTGCTGCAGTTCTAAGGATTCACTCCACAGAAGGGAGGCATAAAGCATTTTCTACCTGTTCATCCCATTTCACAGCAGTGGCCATATATCATGGAACTATTCTCTTCATGTACTTCCGACCCACTTCTAGCTATTCCCTTGACACTGACAAAACAGCATCTGTGTTTTACACAGTAATAATACCTCTGTTGAATCCATTGATCTATAGTTTGAGGAATAAGGATGTAAAATATGCCATGAAAAAAGTGTTTGGAAGAGAACTGGGCTCCCAATAAATATCTCTTTTACTTTATCTTCAGAGTAAACAAACAAAAATGACTATATTTCAGAAAAAAAATATAAAGTCTTAACAAAGAATTTCTTAATGTAGATTATTAATAGAATCCTGGCAATTCTTCCATCTGCTAAATATACCTTAAAATAAAAATCACAACAAGTGATGTAAATTTGATAAAGTATCTTTTCCAGAGGAATTTCTGGCCCTTATTTGCAAGGCAAACAGCAGGATTGGCAAACGCTCTTCCCTGGTCCTTGATTTTGCTTAAAGTAACTTAAAGGAGAAAGGAAACCTCTTTATAGCCACTCAATAATTTTAAATCTCACTTAGTTTTCCTTCTGCCCTCCTCCCAATCATACACACACTCACATGAACAATGCACAATTTTATTCTCTCTTTTGAAAGTTTCCAATATTCCACCTTAATAGCTCCCACCCACACAGAAACTTCTGTTAGCAGAGATCTCTGGTTCTTGGAAATGCATTTTGAAGATATGGATCTAATGACAGTATGAAAGGGTGTTTTCCTCTCTACATACTTTTCCAAGGAAGAAAAGGTTCTCTCTGAAAACAAGTGTTTGCACTGTAATGAAGAATATCCAATGCAATTGCCTTTTCATAATAGACAGCTTGTATCTCATTGAATAAAATCATATATAAATAAACCGAGAAATTACTTTAAAAAAATGTTCCTCAGTATTGCTGACTATCTTCTTCTCCTCCCCATTGTAGTTATCATGGTCTCTCATATGCTGCAGTCTTCACACCATCTAGACCAGGGGTGTCAAACTCAAGGCCCGTGGGCTGGATCCAGGCCGCAGGGTGCTTAAATCTAGAAATATCAAAGGACCAACCCACAGTGCCTCTGCCGGCCAAAATGGGCTGAGGGGAGGCTGTGTGCAGCCCTCCTGTGGCCCATTTTCGGCCTCCATAGCCTCCTGCAGCACTCTGCTGGCCAAAAATGGGCCACATGGCGACCTCGTGTGGCCTCTGTGTGCCCCATTTTGGCTGGCAGGGTGCTGCAGGAGGTGTCCGTCCCATCTCCCACCCTGCTCCTGCCCCCACCAGCCCGTGGAGGAGAACTACAATGCTGATCCAGCCTTCGAAGAAATCCAGTTTGACACACCTGATCTAGACTCTCTACTAAATTGGATTGGAGGATTGTGGTTAAATTTGCAGTTCTGAGATTAGAGAAGCATGGTGGCCTATTTACCTTATTGTCTTCATTGAGTTACTTCTGATACCAAGCTCGGAAAATTTTTCTGGTTTATACTGAAAAGCAAAAATTTTAAGGAGAGGCTCCACATTTCAATAGAATCTGAGTTCTTGTTTTTTTTTTCTTTTAAACATCTGCAAATCTGTTCCAAAGAAGTAAAAAAATGGAGTGACTTAAAGCAGAAAGAAATATTACCAAGAGCATTTGTATTGGATTGGCACCCACTGTTCTCCACATCAGGGGTCTCCAACCTCTGGGCTGTGGCCGAGTGCCAGACCGCAGCCTGTTCGGATCAGGCTGTGGAAGTGATGTGTGAGCACGCATGACACCATCTCCTCTCTCCACCCCCTGCTGCCGCCACTTCTGCCAGTCCACCATTTATCATATTATGCCATGCAGCCGAATCACAATCAAAAGAAGATAAGATCAGAAGAATTTAAAGATAGATCCAAGCCAAGCTTAATGCATTCTTACAAAGCTTTTAGAGGATTCCTTAAAACATTATTGGATATTAGGATTTAGTAATCCAAATTCTGAGGAGAAAATGTGTAGACTCATATCACATTTGTTGGCAACACCATAAAGAAATGGTGTCTTTCCCTGTGCTTGCAGAGCAAAATAATGAATTTTATTTAAGTGGTGGTATGTGATCCAAGGGTTCTGGATCACCTTTCTGACTCTGAATCCATTTCGGTTCTTTAGAGTGTGTGATGATTGTGGATCACTCCATGAAGATCAACGCTGCATGTGTTTTGATGGTAGCATTAGCTAAATTTCATGTAAAAATACTGAGGGCATATGAAAATCCATAGCTTGGATTTGTGTTTTTGCACATTTGGTGATGTCAAACAATATTAGTTTTGTCATTGCAATATCAGATGGGTGTGACCGTCATTTTGATGATGGCTTCAGATGGAACCCACTTGGGAATCTCTGAGGATCTGCATAAATCCAACTTTTATCTAGATTGCACAAAATCCAAGTGAACTACAATCTTATTTCACGCAATTTCATACAAATTTATTCCTTTACATTACCCATTGTCTTTCACACACAAAAACACTTGCAATCCATATTATAGAAACCATACTATTGTACAGTATCAGGTTTTGGAACAGTGGTGTTACTTTTCTTCATTGATCTGGCACAGAGAGTCCCTCAGAATGGGGCAAAAATGAAAGTAATTAGATATTAGGAAATTGTATTGGCTTGTTTTTCTATTTAACAAAAAAGAAGCATCAATTATGAATAATTTAGAAGTAGTATAATGTTAAAGCTCCCAAGAAGATAGCCTGAAATTGTTTCCCTTAAGACTCTGAAGATGAAGTTACTTCAGGGATGATATTGGTTCAGCTTATTTAAAGGAATAGATGTCTTTCTATCCTAAATCATCAAGTCTGGGACCAACTCGCCTCTCCTATATAAATCTATACTGAAAAGTGATGCAGTCTCTCCAAGGTCAAAGTCAATTGGCTTCTTACATTCATTCGGGATAGTGTTAGTGATAAAAATTATTTCTGGATTGCCTTTACATTGCTTATAGTGCTGTGAAATACAAGAACATAGAGAAAAAGTAATTGAATATTTTCAGCATAATAGTCTATGAAGATGAATCCGATGCCAATGAGCAGAAACTGAAAAATCCAGCAAAGCTACTGGGATTTTCAATTAAAAATATTGTTTGTGTGGCAGCAAATAGCATCTAAAAGCTGAAATGAATATCATTTTGGCTGTTGCAAATGCTCAAGGCGACCTTTGCAAAGGTTGGTATTTATTTTCTTATTTTTAAGAGTTAAGAGTTTTTTTTTTTATGCAAAAGGAATAATTTTCAGAACCAAATTAGAAAGGATTTTTAACTGTTCTGCATCTGGTAAATCCTGCAAATGCTTTTTTAAGCATTCCTCTTTCTGTCTTGAATTAAACTTAGAGACCAATTTGGAAAAAAAAGAGAGAGGGGACTGGAATAAGTAGAAATATGATATATTTATTCTGGAAATGGGAAAGAGGAACACTTAGAAAGAAAAGAGAATACTGTTCTTGACCCTACCACTTTGGAATACAAATGCTACACAGTCTAGATCACTTTATGCAATGGGTTATAATTACATTTAACAAATTCAGGCAGAAGATTGTGTTAGCCGTAAGGCATCCACTAAAGCCATCTTCTTCTGCAATCTCTGTTCTCCAAATTTGCACCCTCACTCTATGGTTGTTTGTTTGGTCACCTTCAGTAACGAGCCTTTTCTAAAAGTTATTCTGCTCACGTGATCCTTCTGAAAATGCTTAAAAATTAGTTTATTTTACTTTCGTTAGCATTCAAGTATTCAACAGTTTATCTGAGAGGTGTAGGCCCTACAGGAGTCCATCTGCTCCATGAATAGTTTATGCAATTCTATTTCTGTACAGGAACCTCAGGAAAACTTAATGAGGACCAAAATCTCTGAGCATTTTTACTTGCTTCCTTAGCTCATATATTTTCATTTGGATCCCAGAATCCTCTTTGACTCACACAGCAACAGAGTAGTGATTTAGGATTTACAATCTTTTTTTTTTTTTTGAAAAAAGTTTTTAAATAAAATTTTTTATTTTTCATCAACATGTTTAAATGTACAGTCTTTTATCCATCCTTATACATTGTTCGTTCATCTTCTTCTTTAACTCCCATTAGGTAATTAATTAATTAATTGTTCGGGTCTGCTCTTTTACCATTTCCTTCTTTTGTTTTACTACAACCTTTCCTTTTTGCCTTTCCTTCTTTCTCCTCCTTTCTTTCTTCTTTCTTCTTTCCTCATTCCTCCTCTCCTTTCCTTTCCTACTTCCTTTCCTCTTTCCCCTCTCCTCTCTTCTTCCTCCCCTTCTTACCCTCTCTCCTGCTCTTCTTTACAATCTCATTGTACATATGTTGTGCACCGACAATAAAGATCTGGAACTGAATTGATTTCCAGACATAATTTATTTGGGATTGGGGGGGGGGAGATGTAATTCAGTTGAAATGACTGGAACGATTTATATCATTTAATTAATCTTCTTAATGTGTAACAATATGTTAATGTTAATCAGAAAAAAACACTTCAAACAATGCATCTGATAAACCTACAACGAAGGGCAAATCTTCAAAAGAAGCTGAGGAAGCTGAAGCTGCCCAATACTCAAAGGATCCAGGTAATCATTAATCATTTATACTATGTCTTAACTTGATGTAGCTACAATGCTAAAAGCAACTGCAGTTAAAATCTTCAGGTGATTTTCATTTTTTTCCCCCACAAAAACCATGCAGGGATGGGAACAATCCTTTAGAAAAATTGCCAATTCCATTAGGGAAACTGCCTAAATTGTATCCTATGCTCTTTGAACAAAGGGCAATTTATGCCTTGCATTTTTCCCTTTGTCTCCTCTCCTTGCAGCTGTCCAAGGTTTTCTTGAAAAACCTCTTCAAATGATTCAAAAGGACCATCTCAACATTGTGAGTTGTGTGGTTTTTCAAGGGAGCAGTGGGGACAAGCATACAGCCAGTATAAGAAATAATGCAAAATTGTTCTGCATAGTTGTGGGTTAATTTCTGTTTCCTATTACAATCGTGTAAGATACCATCAACAATATGTAGTTCATCTGAATAACTAGAAAGACATTTTGAGGGGTGGGAGTTCCAGGAGGAGAAAGGGAAAAATACGATCTTTTGCATAAGCAGTCTTCTCCATCCACCAAGCATTTTTCACTCATATTCAACCTATTTTTATGAGAGGTATTTTCATTTGAAAAATACCTCTCACACAAACAGGATCTTCTGAAAATTCTGTATCTCACTTAAAAATCAAATTTTCTGCTAGGATGCCAATTCCAAGCTGGTTGCTTAAAGTTGAGTTAAGTGATGCCACCGTGATCACTCAATATTGCTTTTTTTGTAGTCTTTGTGAGTACTGAGGGCTTCCTGCTTGCAGTGATGGCATATGACCAATATAATTGTTCTACGGCTTTTCTTTTTGCAGTTTTTGCAGGTGCAGTTCCAGGTGGTCACCTCTAACTGATCATGAACAATTACACCATGGTCACTGAATTCATTCTTCTTGGGCTAACAGACAAGCTGGCATTTGAAGTGCCCCTCTTCATGATATTTTTCCTGATCTATTTTCTGACCCTGGCTGGGAACATGGGGATGGTGGTATTGATCAGAATCAGCCCCCGGCTTCATACCCCAATGTACTTCTTCCTCAGCAATCTGTCTATTGTTGATGTCTGCTACTCTTCCATCTTTGCACCGAGGCTCTTGATGAATCTAGCACAATTTAAAACTATTTCATACGCTGGATGCATCGCTCAACATTGCTTTTTTGTGGTCTTTGTGAGTACCGAGGGCTTTCTGCTTGCAGTAATGGCATATGACCGCTATGTAGCCATTTGTAAGCCATTGCTCTATACCACTATGATGACCAAAAGGGTCTATGTCCTGCTAGTAGCAGGTTCATACCTAGGGGGAATAGTGAATTCCCTCACCCACACTTCTGGCTTACTTATGGTGTCGTTCTGTGCCCCAGGTGTAATTAACCACTTCTTCTGTGATACACCAGCTATGTTGAAAGTTTCATGCAGTGATACTCATATTAATGAAGTTATATTGGTCACCTTCTCTGGAATAATTGCTCTTTCTACTCTCCTGATAATTATAATCTCCTACCTATGTATCTTGACTAGTATCCTAAAGATGCATTCTTCTGGGAATAGATACAAAGCTTTTTCCACCTGTGCTTCCCACCTAACAGCAGTCACCATGTTCTACGGGCCAGTTAGTTTAAGCCATTTGCAACTCAGCTCTGTGTACATTCAGCAACAAGAAAAGATCTCAGCTGTGTTCTACACGCTGATAGTCCCCATGCTGAATCCAGTGATCTACAGTTTGAGGAACAAAGAGGTAAAAAATGCCTTGAAGAAAATGATTAATTGTCAAAAAGAATAAAGATTTTTGCTGCCCTGGGGTGGTTTAGAATCATTTTGTAATCCTATGGGGGGGACTCTCGATGCAAAATTGGAAGGAAACTGTTAGTTTATTCAATCTACAGATACGATTCTCCTAATTAAAAGACAAATTGAAAATCAATCGGTGTGGAAAATCCCAATTACAAATCTTTTGCTTATGCTCGCAGATTCTGCCTAGGCATATATTTATTTATTTATTTGTTTGTTTGTTTGTTTGTTTGTTTGTTTGTTTGTTCATTTATTTATCAAATTTCTATACCGCCCTACTCCCGGAGGACTCAGGGCGGTGAACAGCCAAGATAAAATACAGATAATACAAATATTAAAAGTCCCTTAAAATTATTAAATATTTTGGCCGAAACACAGATTAAAACACCCAATTTATAAAATATACAATGTTTACATATAACAAAGAAGGAGGGAAGGTTGCCTCCTCCTTTGATTTCCACCCCCTTTTCTTTATCCACCACTTATAATTTATGATGATGTCTCCCATCTGTCAAAATAGGAAAAAATAAATGATTTTAAAATAATTAAAACTACATATTCGTTCCTATGAGTTATCTCCAGCAACTGATTCTTTCATTCCACACCCTTCTTCTGAAACAATGGAGATAAGAAAGCAGTCAAAATGAAACACTTGAATCTCATTCTTCACACAAGCAAAGTGAACACACAAATCTGTTTATGGTTATTTGTTTAATCAATGTATACAGCTCACCCATCTCACAGTTGTGATGTCACACATGGGGATAAAACCAAACAAAAAACTTACAATAAGAAAAAGAAAAGAAGTCATGGCAGCCAAAGACAAACCCAACTCCAGTCATGTTTATAGTAAGAAGTAGTTGGTCCTTCTAAATGAATATAGAACTGCTGCCCTAACAGATCACGTATGTCTATGTTAGTGATTTAAAATACTTGGGGAAATTACAGAATTTCCTAGGCAGAAATACAAGTTTTGAATCAGTGGAGATTCAGAGGAAATTAACATCAAGTAATATTGCTTGTCAGGTCTCACAAGCCACTACTTACAGTGCAGTCTTGAAGCCATTTTTATTCCATTGCAGCTTATGCCCACATAAATATATACAATATTGTAGCATTTTGAGAACAGGAAAAATCATGCAGGGTGATATACCAGCATTTTCCCGAAGATCTGGACAGCAGGAATTCTATATCACTTGAGACTCAATAGTTTTGATGATTTATTGGTCCACCCAGTGCAGATCTTTAGCTGGTCATGAACCCTCTCCCAAAATGATAACGCTATGATTTCAGAAAACCTATTTATTAACTCTTGATGATTAACGAAACTAATGGAGTAACCTGAACCCCAATTTTGTCACTATTGATTATAGATAACCCTAGAACATTCATAGCCCGACTTTCTAGGGCTTGTTTTGTTTCTTTGTTTTTTGAAAAATTTAAATATAATGAACATAGCAAGCAAAAATCTATTTTGAGCAGTTTTGGAGCAAGTAAAATGGAACATTATTAAGCTGTCTTTTAAAAACATTATTGGTTGCTGCTTTAAATACAGGTATTTAAATGAGCGTAGTAGCCATACAGAATTACAATCCTGTACACTTGATATGTATATGCTATACGTGTTTCATGTGGCCTACAAGGATCTGCAGTTGATTTTTTTTCCTGATCGCACACTCAACCAGATGTTTAGCCTGGATTTGACATTTTATCCACCTATCAAGTCTTTCCCAGCAACCTGGGATAGGCAGATGTTGCTGTTAGATGGTATTAAAGGTATCATCGCAGAATTATTATTATTTATTAAATTTGTACGCCATCAGACTCTCAAAAAAATTCTAAGTATCTGACAAGAAAGAAATAAGAATAAAACATTGAAGTTAAAAAATGGCAAGTGCAATGAAGCAAAGAGTCTCACCCTCCCTTGCCAAGGGCTTAGTTTTTCAGAATTTCCAGCACTTGCTTTAATCCTCACATCCAGGAGCTGTGCAATACTTCAGAGACATTCTGCAAAAATGGTTTAGAGCGCGCACACAGGCATAAAATGCAGCACTTTTCTGCAATCTCTTAGAAGTGGTTGCTAGAGGGTTTTCCTAGGTTGCATGGCTGCTCTCTGCGCCTGCTGTGTAGTCGCAGGAAAAGATGCAGCAGCTTTGAGGATTGCAGAAAAGTTGTGCATTTGTGTTCTGCAATGCTCCAAAGCACTCTGTTTCCAGTCACAATGAAGCTAAACTGGAGCCTATTTTTGAGAAAGAGCTTGATATAGATTGTTAATTTTAATGTTTCATGGTATCACTGATATTTTATTTGGTTTGTTATTTGCTTGTCCTATGTTTGTTGTCAAAGCCTTGGGACTGAATGCATCTTTTCAATAAACAAAACATTGGTTCTGGTTCCTTTAGTTTATAGCATCTATGATTCTGCTTCCTAAAAAGGCTTATTTGCTATACTGGGAGGGAGGCTCGACTCTTTTACTCATTTAACAAGGAGAAACCAAGGGAATACACTGTAGTATTTTGCCCAACAAAGAAAAAGTCTTCACGCTTCTAAAGATAAATTGCTTTTTCCTAATGTGAATCACTTATGTTATCAGGGGAATATATGCCCAGAGTAAATCAGTATCTCTGTGAATCTTAATAAAACTGAATACGGATTTGTTGTAAATGAAGCTTTGAGGATAGCTTGGATATATCTGCATCAGCCTCTAATATGCTCTAGTGGATCCGCCACTTTTATCCCTGTTTCTGTGATCAAGTCAAAAATGTCATTAACAAATTGAGAAGAGTTCTTTCATAAAATCTGATAGAGAAACAGTGGAGAACCAGGGATCTTTTCAGGATGAAGGTTTGTGGCACTGATGGCAATCAGTACGAAGCATCATTCTGTCACCAGATTTATATTTTAAAAACCTGAAAAGAAAGAAATTAGTATAAGTTGGACTCAGCCTCATCAAGTTGTTGTTTTTTTAGAATGCCACGAAACTTCAGCTGGGGGAAAGATTGTGTCTATGATAATATTATTTATTTTTTGCATATTTAACTGAAGCAAGAATGTTACACATGGATACTTAGGACTAGCAGCTACATGAAGAGGAAATATTAAGAATGCAGGTGAAATGGCATTAGCTATCATTTGAATGTTGCTCAGAGTGTTACATTATTTTACCTTACATTATTATTTGTCCACATTATAGGCCAGGAAAGCTATTTTACCTGATGTCCTTGCATCAGGTAGTGGATTGATCAGGATTGCATCATTATAGTGGATTGCCTGTTTCATGCATGCTTGCCTTTTCTATGAAAACCCTAAACTGAAGCAAAGATCAAATTTAGTTTCATTTGAGATGATCGGAGGATCATCTTATGACTTATAAATATCTTCCCCACCTTTTTCTTGACAATCTGGACAATTTTACATCTGGTATGAAAAATAGTAACGACAGCTCCATGAATGATTTTCTCTTGCTGGGCTTTTCCATCCTTGGAAAGAAACCAACTTTACTTTTTGTGATTTTCTCCCTTACCTATGGTACCATCCTGACCTTCAACATCATTATCATGTCAGTCATATTGCTCGACCGGACTCTACATTGTCCAATGTACTTTTTACTTTTTGCATTATCTGTGTCAGAAACCTGTACCACCTTTGTCACTGTCCCCAAACTTCTTTTCATTCTGTTGACTGGCAGACAGTCCATTTCCTTTGTTGGATGTGCCATGCAGATGTTTTGCTTTTTTAGTTTGGGAGCCAACAATTGTTTCCTGTTAGTTGCTATGTCTTATGATCGGTATGCAGCCATTTGCTACCCACTTCAGTACCAGGTACTGATGGAGAAAAAGGTTTGCATCAAACTAGTAGCTGCATCATGTCTAGCAGGATGCTATATCTCTCTAGTTATTTGCATCCTTATATTCAGGTTGCCTTTTTGTGGGCCAAAAGAAATCCAACATTTTTTCTGTGACATTTCACCTGTGCTGAACCTGACTTGTATTGATACTTACCTGACTCATCTGGTGGTGGTCCTTTTATGTGCTGTTGTTTTGCTGGGCACAGTCCTATTGATCTCTGTTTCATACGCCTATATTATTTCTGCTATCCTAAGGATCTCCTCCAGTCTGGGAAGAAAAAAAATGTTCTCCACCTGTGCTTCCCATCTCACTGTGGTGATCACCCACTTCAGTTGTGCTTGTTTTGTGTATTTGAGACCTAAGACAGCTTCCTCACTAGGTCAAGACACATGGCTCTCAACCGTTTTTGTCTTCATAACCCCTCTGCTGAACCCTTTGATTTATACCTTGAGAAATCAGGACGTTAAATTATCCATTCAAAAACTGCTAAGGAATTCGTTTTGTCCTCAGAGACTCTAAACAGAAGAAGTGATTTGATTTGATTTGATTTTTTTTTTGATTTTTTTTTTTAATTTTTAAACAAAACATAAAATATAAATCCATCATCCATTACAATTGCAAACAGTGTGTCGGTCAGTTACAAGTCTTTTGTGCTTCCTCCCCTTATTCATAATTAACTAATTATCTGATTTAACTATGGCTTTATCATTTCATAAAAAATATTTTCAAATATTATATTATAACATTCATTTTATATTTCATATTTCATTTCCATGTTTTATTATCTAGCCATTGATACAATAAATCCCATATCTTATAATATTGTTTATCTTCTTGTTCTCTAATTTCAAATGTCAATTTACTCATTTCAGCACATTCCATGATTTTCTTAATAACTTCATCTTGTGTTGGTATTTTCTCATTTTTCCAATTTTTTTTAATTTATTTTTTTTAATTTGATTTATATGCCGCCCTTCTCCGGAGACTCAGGGCGGCTTACAATGTGCTCAGCAATAGCCTTCATCCTTTTATATATTTTATACAAAGTCAGCTTATTGCCCCCACAACTGGGTCCTCAATTTACCTACCTTAGAAAGGATGGAAGGCTGAGTCAACCTTGAGCCTTGGCGAGATTCGAACCTGCAGTAATTGCAGGCAGCTGGTCTTAATAACCAGTTTAATAACAATTTTAGCAAACACAATTCTAACCACTGTTAATACATTCACAATCAAATATTTCAATTCTCTATTGTATATTTCTGGCACAATGTCTAATAAAAATTTTCTGGTTTAAAATCTATGTGTTTTCTTGTCATTTTTTCCAGCCATGTGCGGATTTTAGTCCAGTATATTTTAGCTTCTAGATTTTGATTTGATTTAATGGGGAGGGGAGGCACCTTAATGTCTGAGGAGGCTCAGAGGCAAGGCAATGGCATATATTGGAAAAGGTTTGATAGAGAACAGCGAGAAAAGAGGCAGTTATTATCAACGTTTCAGTGCAGTCTTTAGAGCAAAAGTTAATGTTGAGCATATGATTTATGTTTAACACTTTCTTTCTCTGCCAAGAGCCTAACAAATAATCCCATTCTTTCTCTCTCAAACAACTTCACAAGCATACACGGAAGTATACACTGGAACTGCTACTTAGCCTGGAAATTAGTCTTATAAAATTGCATACTGCAAAGAAGAGCAACAAAGATAATGAGGGTTTCTTCATAAAATATATGAAGAACGGTTGCAGGGTTGCAGATATGTCTAGTTTAATGAAAAGAGGTGATATGATAGCAGTGTTCCAATATCTCAGAGGCTGCCACAAAAAAGAGGGGATCAAGCTATTCTTCAAATCACCTGAAGGCAGGATAAGAAGCAATGGATGGAAAGTAATCAAAGAGAGAACCAACCTAGAACTAAGGAGAAATTTCTTGACAGTTAGAACAATTAATCAGTGGAATGACTTGCATCCAGAATTTTTAGGTGCTCCAACACTGGAGATTTTAAAGAAGAGATTGGACAACCATTTGTCTGAAATAGTATAGGGCAGGGGTCAGCAACCCATGGCTCTGGAGCCGCATGTGGCTCTTTCATCCCTCTGCTGTGGCTCTCTGTTGCTGGTCAGCTCCACAATTGATAGGGCTTTCAGTTAGGACAGGTAGAGGAAAAAGGATGCTGTACTAGGAGGAGACTCTATGGTGAAGGAACCAGACTTCCAGTCAGCAGAGGAAAAAAGACGCCGCTCTAGGAGGAGACTATGATGGGGGAACCGGACTTCCAGTCGGCTCCAGAATTGAATGGGGGCTTCCGGTTAGGACCTTTGTGGCTCTTTGAGTGTTTAAGGTTGCTGACCCCTGGTATAGGGTGTCCTGTTTGAGCAGGGGATTGGACTAAAAGACCACAAAAATCCCTTCCAACTCTGTTATTCAATGTCCTAATAAAAATCTTCTATTGGCCTTTATTTTCATTAGATGTTGATTGGATATACGGTAATTTTGAATAATAAAATACTTTTGCTTGCCAGCTGAACTTTTCATAGTTCGGTACTTCAGCAATAAACACTATTTCTGTCCACCATCATATGATGATTTATGCTGAAAGACTCTCTTCATGTATGTATTTTTTAAAAAATCAACACAATGCTGCAAGGGAATGGCTGGACTATCAACAAGGAGCTGTCACCTCCAAAGTAATCCATGGAGTAGGCAAAATGGTGCCCACCAGGGTCATAAAAATAGCAAAGAGCACAGTGAGGTGAAAGTCCTTGACATCGGAAGCAGCATGAAAGGCTTAATGCACTAGTTAGAGAAAGAATCAGCAACTCTCCTGGCTCTCTTGAATTTCTGTGCAAGAACCTCTCAAGACAGCGCTAATCCTCTTCTGTAAACATAAAGGAGAACTAAGTCCATGGTTTTTTTAAAAAAAAATCTAGCAAAAAGTCTGTGGAAGAAGCCGAAATTTTACCTTTAAACTACAGCATCTAAAATGACAATTCTAAGCAGTCATTAAAGCTTCAGAAAGTGCTGAATTCATCATCATCTGACATGTCATCTAAAAAGAGTTACCAGCACATGTTTTTTCCATGGTCAGGGGTACGTGACACTGACATTTCAGGATCCAATTTTAATTCCAATCAGTAAACACGAGAGGCAATGTTTAAAATGTTTGACTAAGTACCTAGTGTTCATCACATTACATTATTTTTTTCTGCTTTATTTATTCATCTTCTCACTATGTCTCTGATTCAAAGCAGGGGTGAAATCCAGCAGGTTCTGACAGGTTCTGGAGAACCGGTAGCGGGAATTTTGAATAGTTCAGAGAACTGGCAAATACTACCTCTGGCTGGCCCCAGAGTGAGGTGGGAATGGAAATTTTGCAGTATCCTTCTCCTTGAGTGGGATGGGAATGGGGATTTTGCAGTATCCTTCCCCTGCCTTGCCCACCAAGCCACACTACACCCACCAAGCCATGTCCACAGAACCAGTAGTAAAAAAATTTGGATTTCACCAGTGATTCAAAGTCTCTTTTTTTTAAAAAATCCTAATATGATGAAACTTAGTCTGAATTCCCATGAAGGAGGGGCTGCATTCCAGAGAACCAAAAGGCAATGAAGTTTAGATACTTTGGTTGGGACAAAGAGAGTTAAACCAGCTCCTCCCTAGAGATTCTCAGATTATATCCCCAATGAAGCTAATAGTTGCTTTAGCTTGGCAAGATTTCTGACTATGGGCAAGGAACAATAAAGGAATCTGCTTAGAAGTAGCATGTACTTATCTTTCTTTGTTATTGGGGTCAGATAGCTAACTACCTATCATGATGTATATGCTGTTTAGTAAACAGCATATACTGTTTAGTGCAAATGCGTTTTGTTTGTGGTCATAAACAATTTAAATTCTCATTTGCCGATATGTTTTTTTTTTTTTTTTTTAAATTTGATTTATATGCCGCCCTTCTCCGGAGACTCAGGGCGGCTTACAGTGCGTTAAGCAATAGCCTTCATACTTTTGTATATTTATACAAAGTCAGCTTATTGCCCCCACAAACTGGGTCCTCATTTAACCTACCTTAGAAAGGATGGAAGGCTGAGTCAACCTTGAGCCTTGGAGAGATTCGAACCAGCAGTAAATTGCAGGCAGCTGTGTTAATAACAGGGTGCTTTAAACCACTGTAGTACCAAGGCTCTGTTCCCTGGAGTATATAACATGGCTTATTCTCTTATGCATTTTTTTAACAGAGGGAATCAAAACCATTTTTTCCCTTTTTGTTTTCTCCTAATTCACAATTTAAGAGCAGAAAAGGAGGCAGTGACAGGATGATCTGCTTGCCTCTGCCTGGAGGGCTGGAGAAAATGTCAAGTATTTTATATGTGGGCTGAGACCTCTGTTTAATTTTGTGTAGTCTTCATCAAAAAGTGCACATGGTCAGACCAACACTGTATACTAGCCTCCCTGCAGCATAACAACTTCCCTGTCTGAGCTCCTTGACTCCACTTCTGGACTGACAGTGGAGTTCCCCAGAATTAATGGTTCTGGGGGGACTTCAATCTGTCTTCTCTAGGAATGGGATATGAGGTAGTTCAGGAGTTTATGGCCACCCTAAGGACCATGGACCTATCCCAGGTCATCCAGAACCAGATACAGAGTAGCGGTCACACTGCAGAACCTAAAATATCAAAGCCTAAATTATGTGATTTGACACTGGGAGAGCACTTGGTATCTCCCTTTGTCTTGGCCAGATCATGCCCTGACTTCCATGGGATTCTCTAGTATCCACCAAATGCTCCATTGTAGGGAAGCTGGAACCATTAGATTGGTCTGCCTCTAACAATGGAAGAACTTGGATGGGTTTCAGAAGGTGCTGGGAATTGTTGCTGTTAGTCTGTTGCAGGGTTCATCTGAAGCCTTGGTTGCTGCTTGGAATAAGGGGGTGGCTGAGGCATTGAAAGTGATCACATCCATGCCTCCTCACCTCTCTGGGGGATCCTTGTCCCTCTTGGGGACTCTGCCAAATGAGAGCAGAGGTGTCTAGGCATCACTGGCACTCAACCAAGGACAAACTCAATAGAAAATGGGCCAGAGTCTGTATGAAGGCCCACCTTGTGATGATAGGGCAGTGAAACAGCAATATTTCTCCACCCTTATTGCATCCATAAATTGCAACCCCTCAGCCCTGTTTTTGGTGATACAAGCTCTTATGAGTAAAGGGGACCTGGGGAACCTTTAGCAGGGACATGGGGAGGAATTTCTCAGCATTGATTAAACAAAATCATTCAAATCACTCTTAGCTGGACACCAGCCTCATTGCAGATCCAGAAGAGATGCCTGAGACTGATTCTTGCCCAGTTACATAGGATTGTATCTCATATTTTTGAATTGTTGATTATTGTATACCATCCAGAGTCGCTTCTTCTGAGATGGATGGCCATATAAATCTTATTAACAAATAAATTAAAACTGTTATTGGGTTTGTTTTTTTTACAAGATTAAAATTTGTCTGATTCCTCTTCCTCCACTTCATGCTGCTGGGTT